GACAGAGTGGAACTGCCCCACAGGGTCTCCAAGGCTGTCAGTCTTCACAGAAGCAAAGCCCAAACCACACCCACTGTCGTGGAGTCCATTCTGACCCACAGCGCCCCTAGAGGACAGAGTGGAACTGCACCACAGGGTTTCAAGGCTGTCATCTTTAGGAAGCCAACTGCTTCATCTTTCTTCTGCAGAGCAGCTGGTAGATTCAAACTGACCTCTCTGTTGACAGCCAAACACTACCTGCTGCCCCCCAGCACTGCTCAGAACAGTAGCACCTGGGTTACACTACAGTTGGGAAGGATACCATCAGTTAAAGTAGATCCGATGTGTGAAGTTAAAATAGCACTGGACAGATGGTCAGCCCTCCTACATGTCGTTGTTGTTGCTTGCCATCCAGCCAGCCCCCGAGTTACACGGACCCCATCAGAAGCCAATGGCAGCTCGGTCCCGCATCCCATGATCCATGTACATCTGACCATCGGGACCCACGGGGTTCACACTCACTGATTTCAGAAGTGACCAGACCTTTCTTCCTACCCATCTGAGTTTGGAAGCTGTGCTGAAAGTGGGTCAGCATCAAGCAACACCCACCCACAGGTGCTGACTAAGCGTGAGGGGCCATGGCTGGCAATGGAACCCGGGTGTCCTGCAAGGAGCCTCAGCCTGCAACCACTGACCCACCGGTGTGCACTAAGTATTCGCTCTCGTCTGCTAATCGCTGTTCACCAGAGCAAACCTTCCCCGACCGTCGTGCGGATGCAGGGCTCACTACACTGACTGCCACGGCGAGTCCACCACAGCTAAAGGAACCACCTTACAGCCTTGGACTCCACGGTAGCCTGGGCGCCTCTCAGGGGTTTAGAAGCAGAACCTCAGACCTGCTGCATCTGAATGTACATTTCTGCGGCATCTCCCGGCAAACAGTGAGCGCATGCAGGCTCGGTCCCCTGCACGTTCGTAGGAAGGGTGGGAAGGAAGCAGCGCTGACCCAGAAGGCAGCTCTGTTACGAACTTCGCTGCACCAACCTGGACCCCACGGTGGGAGTGCGTGTGGCCGCCCCTGCAGCCGCGTGCACCGCCCCCAGCTAGAGGCCCCGCCCACCGGGTCACGTGGGCAGCTCTGTGCGTCTGCGCAGGCGCCCGCAGAAGCGCGGACCTCAGTGCCTATCTGCAGCCTGCAGCCCTGGACGGAGTCCCATTCCAGGCACATCTGAGGGGGTGGGGTACCAACTCAAAACACAAGCCTTCAAGAAGGACGGTGTCATTAGCAAGTCGGGCGACAGGCTGAGGAAGGAACATTGCGAGCGTTTACAGGGAAGGGCAGGAGGCACTTACGTTCACCCAGGGGTGTTCCAGGGCCTGCAGGGCTGAGAACCGCTGGTCCACGTCCACCAACAGCATCATGGTGATGAGTTCCTGGCAAGGAGAGCGGGATACCCATTAGCTGACTTTAAGGTGAAAAATCGGGGGTCTTAAAATGCAAACGTCCTCTTTCGGTTTGCAAAAGCACCTGTTCAAACATGGTGGTGGTGGCCATCGGCTGGTAAAGCCATAGAAAACCAAACCGAACCCACTGCCAACCAGCAGATTCGGGGTCACAGCCACCCCATAGGGTTTCCAAGGCTGCGCATCTTCCTGGAAGCCGACTGCCTCATCTTTCTCCCACAGACCGGCTGGCGGGCTGGAACCACCAACCTTCCGGTGCGCAGCCAAATGCTGTAAGCACTGCACACCTCTGTGGCCTTACATACATTCACTGCAAGGACCCGACCACAGCGAGTGATTCTGACTCGCGGTGACCCCGCGCCTGCCAGAGTAGAGCTGTGTGTCACAGGGTGTGCAAGGGGTGACTTCCAAAAAGTAGGGCACAAGGGCTTTCTTCCCAGGCACCTCTGAGCTGCCAACTTGGCCACGAGGGGTCGAGCACTTCACTGTTTCCACCCAGGAAACAATCAAAGAGCCAAACCTCCTCAAATACCTCAACTCCCCTTACCTAGGGCTCCTGCATAACACCTTCAAAAGCTAAAGGAAAGGTGAGCACGGCATTGATAGAAAAAAAAAAAAAAATGAATTAACATTAAAATCAATTTCTTACAAAGCGAGCTTTTCAGTAGAAAAGAAATTATGTGTATTGAAGAGCTAGCATTCTTTGCCTTGCCTGGGAGTTTGAACCTTAAACAGACAGCTAAATTAGTTTATCACAGAAATCACATTTAAAAATTATTTTTTAAATTAGATCTTCGCCTTTGCAGTTAAAAGGAAAAATGGAATTTTTTCCCACTCATAACTGCACGATGACATGCTTAGAATTTTTAAGCGGTAAATTATTGAATAGTTCTGCAATTCAGGACGCGTCCCCATGAGAACAAGGCTGATTTGGATGATGAAATCGCAGTTTGGTCTTAAGGATGCATTTGTCGTATTTGTCTACTTTGGATTAGACATTCCAACACAATAGAAAAAGAAGCTCTGGTGGTGCAGTGCTTAAAGCACTCGGCTGCTAACAGAAAAGTCAGTAGTTCCAACCCACCAGTCACTCTGGAGGAGAAAGATGGGGCAGTTGGTTTCTGTCAAGATTCAAAGCCTTGTAGACCCTGTGGGGCAGTTCCACTCTGTCCTCTAGGGGCGCTGTGGGTTAGAATGGACTCCAGGGCAGTGGGTGTGGTTTGGGCTTTGCTTCTGTGAAGACTGACAGCCTTGGAGACCCTGTGGTGCAGTTCCACTCTGTCCTCTAGGGGCGCTGTGGGTTAGAATGGACTCCAGGGCAGTGGGTGTGGTTTGGGCTTTGCTTCTGTGAAGACTGACAGCCTTGGAGACCCTGTGGTGCAGTTCCACTCTGTCCTCTAGGGGCGCTGTGAGTTGGACCCTACTTGATGGTAGCGGGTTTTTGTCCTAGAGTCTGAAAGAGACAAAGGACCTTCCCCTAAACCCACCTTGACTTTGGACTTGTGGCCTCCTGAACTGGGAGAGAGAACTTTGCATTCTTTCAAGCCTTCCACTCATGTCTTGTTCTAGTTGTCACGGTGGCGCCGGGTTACTACTCCTCACCCAGCGCCCCACCTGCACAGGTTCTCATCCCCTGGGGGTGGAGCTGGCTCATACCCACCGACGTGGAGGCCCCACCTGAGCTTTCTTCATTCACTTTCCACTGTGGGCCCAGACCTACTATAGCAATGACTGGATGTCCTTTGTGGTCAATGACATGAAGCCTCCCTGCTGTGGAGTGACAGCTCTGGGTGTTGGGGCATCTGAAGAGCTTGTCCAGCGGTGAGCACGTGCCCAGACTATGTCGTCAGCTGTGCAACCTCCTGTCCTGCCCTCGCTGTGGCTTACCCAGACCCTCCCTAAGTTCCCACATGTCCCTGAGCTCAGTGGCAGATACCTGGACGCTAACGGAGAAGGAAAAGGCTCCGGCCACTGGGGCATCGTTTGCTATGAGAGGCGGCCAGGCCTACAGGGTCGAGTTTTCAAAGTGGAGCTTCATACCCAGGACACAGCAAAAGGAAGGCACACATTGCACGTTCAAGAGATAAATATTTCTCAACATGAAATTTAAAAAAAATTGAAGCCCGTCTTATAGATGTAATTTAAGAGACCAGTTAAACAGTTAGCTTCTTTTTTCCCCCAAAGTCTCTGAATGGCTCACAGATTTTTCACAGTTTTCTTTAATTTTTTTTAAATTTTTGCACTATTCCCTCCCTTCCCTTCCCACCCGATAACCAACAAAGAAGTTTCCTTTCATGTATAAAACCTTCCTTGACTTTTTACAATAATGAACTAATATGGTATTTGTCCTTCTGTGATTGACTTATTTTACTCAGTTTAGTGTCCTGCACTTTTCTCAGAGGTTCATCTTTTAGTTGAGGGGCACAAGAGCTGCGTTTTCTTCCTCACTGCCCTTAAGTCCCAGCTACTTCCGTAGTGATAACTACCTCGGAAACCCAAGGAGGGGTCGCTATGAGTTGGGTTTGACTCGACGGCACGTAACAACAACAACAACCCTTTAAGGACCCTCAGCCACTGAGTTGACTCCAATTCCTATGACCCTACAGGACAGAGTAGGGTTCCTAGGCCGTCTCCTTTACTCCTACTTTGGTTGTGTTGTCAGAGGGACCATCACCTGGAGAAGGATGTCATGCTTGGTAAAGTGGAGGGTCAGCCATAAAGGGGAAGGCCCTCAACGAGATGGACGGACAAAGCGGCTGCAATGACGGGCTCAGGTGTAGCAGGGACTGTATGGCTGGTGTGGGACCGGGCAGTGTTTCATTCTGTTGTACACGGGGTGGCTGTGAGTCAGCCGACTTGAGGACACCTCACAACAACAACAACAACAGGTTTTACAGGATCAGAACAGCAGGTTTTTTCTCCTGCAGAGTCGCCGGTGGGTGCAAACCGTGGACCTTTCGGATGACAGCCGAGAGCTTAACGTCCCTGCCACCAGGGCTCCTGTATCCTTCAAGGTTCACCTTAATGCACGGCTTACCCATGACTCCTTTCTGGATCATTTCAACCCACTTCAGGCTTTCTCTGCTTTCACTGACTGATTAATTCATTCTTTCACCCATTTGTTCATGTGTCTAATACACGTCAAGCCCCAGGGATGGACTGGGGGCTCTTCTGAGTACCAATGACACAGCAGTGAACAAAGTAGATGCAAATCCTTACCCTCATAGAATGTGCCTTCTACAAACAGAACACACAAACCAGCTAAATAAGACCTGCCTACCTAGCTCGGGTGGCGCAGTGTCTAAGGCACTTGACTGCTAACCAGAAGGCTGGAGGTTCAAACCCACCAGGCTCTCCTCGGAAGGAAGGTTGGGCAATCTACTTCCGTAGTGATACTGCCTCAGAAACCCAAGGAGGGGTCGCTGTGAGTAGGCTCTGACTTGACGGCACATAACAAACACAACAACCTCGCTTGGCTGGTGCAGTGTCTTAAGGCACTTGACTGCTAACTGGAAGGTCAGGCGGTTCAAACCCACCAGCCACTCCATGGAAGGGAGACAGGGCAATCTACTTCCGTAAAGACTGACTGCCTTGGAAACCCAATGGGGGTCGCTACGAGGCGGAATCCACTCGCTGGCAGTGGATTTGGTTTGGCACCGAGCTACAGCTGTGTGCTGATCTGGGTAAACCAGTGGCCCTGGAGCCAATTCTGACTGGTGGCGCCCTCATGTCTGTCAGAGTAGACTTGCACACCATAAGGTTTCAACGGCTGATTTCTGGAAAAAAGATCACCAGGCCTTTCATCTGAGGAACCCCTGTTTGGACTTGAAACTCCAACCCTTCAGGGAGCAGCTGTTAGCATCAGCTGTCAGCGAGTTAGCCGTCAGCATGACCCAGGACTGTATTTCTCTAGATGAGACAAATCAGATGGACACAGACACATAGATGAAAGAGATGTACACCGGTAGCTAGATGTGTCAGGCAGACACAAGGAACAAGTACAATGTTGTTTTGTGCCCTCGGGTCCATTCTGACCCACAGCGCCCCTAGAGGACAGAGTGGAACTGCCCACAGGGTCTCCAAGGCTGTCAATCTTCACAGAAGCAAAGCCCAAACCACACCCACTGCCGTGGAGTCCATTCTGACCTACAGCGCCCCTAGAGGACAGAGTGGAACTGCCCACAGGGTCTCCTAGGCTGTCAATCTTCACAGAAGCAAAGCCCAAACCACACCCACTGCCGTGGAGTCCATTCTGACCCACAGCGCCCCTAGAGGACAGAGTGGAACTGCCCACAGGGTCTCCTAGGCCGCCATCTTTTGGGATCATCTCACCAGGTCTTTCTCCTACAGAGCCGCTGGCTAGGTTCAAACCACCCACCTTCAGTTAGCAGGCAAACACTTAACCATGTGTCACCAGGGCTCCTCAAAAGTCCTCTAGAGCAAACTAAAGCCGCCCAGGGGGTATGGAGGGCCTGGCCAGGTTTAAGAGCTATGATTTTAAACAGGGTGGTCAGGGAGGCTTCAGTGACAAGATGGCGTCCAGGAAATGCCTGAGGAATGAAGGTGTAAAACAGGCAGAAATGGGAGGTGGGCTCAGAGCAGGTGCAGGTAGAACACAACCCGGGGGCTGCAGCTGGGGCCCTGGAGTGACAGCGGGTGGGGGGAGAGATGGTCAGGGAGGTGGGGGCACATGATGGGTGTTGGCTGGGTGGCCATGAATGGGTGACCTGCTGACCAACAACACCAGTCATTACAGCTACAATGTGTACAGCCCAGACCCATAACATGCCAGCCACCCCTTTCCACACCACGGTTTGGAATTGGTCTTCCCGCTAAGACATGTGGGATGTGAGGAAGAGGAAGGGGCTGGAAACTCACCTTAGCGGAATCAGACACGTTGTCCCAGTACGGAGAAGGGAAGTCCACTTGACCCATGAGAATCTGATCAAACAGTACTTCCTGGTCGTCACCACTCCTGTGCAAACAGACAAGGAAGACAAAGGAAGGAGCCCTAAGACCCCGACTCCGTGGGCATCTGTGTCTCCATCCCCCACCTCATCAACGTGGAAAACACGTGTTTAAAGCAATCCACAGAGTTCAATATGGAAGGGTTTTGATAAATTAACAAGGAATGTGTTTTCAACTCTACGAGGGAGATTAACGGATGTGTTATACATTAGCGTGCATGACGCGGCATCAGCCGAGACGGGCAATCTTCTCATTACGTTCTTTTCCTGCAGAGGACCTCTTTGTTCAATGAGGGCAAATGCATTGCTCTGGGAACAGAGAAGGGGTCTGGTGGGTGCTGAGCGAGGGGTCGCTTCCATACCCACGGAATGGAGGGAAGCCACAAAGCAGGATATAGGTGATCACGCCAGCGGCCCAGATGTCCACCTTGAGGCCGTACCTGGAAAAGCAGATGGCGTCAGAGTCAGGGAAGTCAGGCTGGACACAATTCCGCTCCACACCAAACCCAGACCCGACAGGAGCTACGCCACCACCACACCCTGAGCCCAAACCCAGCAGCTAAACATGGTTCAAGGAGGGCATAAAGAAGACGAAGACTAAGACCCCGAAAATAAAAATTGAAGGAATGCCTGAAATTTCCTCCTAGATCCAGGAGCTCCGGTGGTGCAGTGATTAAATGCTTGGCAGCTAACTGAAACCCACCAGCTGCCCCATGGGAGAAGATGAGGCAGTTGGCTTCTGTGAAGATTGACAGCCTTGGAGACCCTGTGGGGCAGTTCCACCCTGTCCTCTAGGGGCGCTGTGGGTCAGAATGGACTCCACGGCAGTGGGT